CTGCTGAGTTACTGCACAGGAGGGCAGCAGCAAGTTAGTGCACTGACCTTTGGGGAGCAGTGAGATGGAGGTTTTGGACTTTTGCACCCAGTGCTTCCTGGGTAAGACTTTATTCTAATACCTGCTGTGTCATATTGGACGGCCTTTGTGTTATTGACCCTGCAGGATTTATCTGGCTACTGGCAGATGCCTCTTTATCCTCCCAGGCCACTTAGAGCTGCTTCAGCCTTCCCCTACAGGTGAAGTCTGAAAAGGCCCCATAGTGCTGACTGTCTGCTCCTCCAATGGGAAGCCTGCGTATGGCTGACGTGGACTGAGAGTCTCCGTGGACCAGCAACTCTAACAGACCTTTTGCCCCTGTTATTTCATTGTTCATTCAATTTGTTTCACAGATGAATAAAATTGAAGGTCAGTGTAGTTGAGGACCTTAGTAAATAGTGAAGTTGGTGTTCCACCCAAGGCTATCTGAGGCTAAAGTGCTGTTCTCTCGGCTGCCATTACGGCCTTTGTATAAGCGATGCTACAGCAGTAAACATTTTGTCCTGATGAAGAATTTTGTGGAAAATGTGCCCAACCAAATTGCTTTCTGTAACCTGGAGACAGGAATAAATGAGGGAGAAGCAGACGCTTTTCTTGTATTTATAAGGTCAGCTGCCTCATCCATTGGCATGATTGCCTTTTTGAAAGCGACAGTCGAGGCGATTAAGGGATGAGATTCCAGTTAATCTGTCAGTATTTCTGTGTTGGACTGTCTAGTTAATAACCAGGGGAAGTGGGACAAATTTGCCTTGGGTAATCCTCATCTGTAAAATGTGAATAACTCTTACCAGTGCAGGCCTGAGGATGAAATGATGTAATCAGTGTTTGGCCCAATGTGTCACTCAACAAATGCCACATGGTACTAATGTCATCACCAACATCGACCTCCTCCATGTCATGGTGGGCAGAGCTTAATAATGGCTTTATAACCTTATTCATGCTCAATGCTGAATATACTAACTGATCAACACCAAAGTGCTTCAATTAGGCATTGAATATATGCCAACAATTCCAAAGATCTAGACTAGAGTTACAGATAGAGTGCACTGAATTCTATCTGAGGTATTCCATTTGAAAAATAAATTTATTTTTAGGGCTGTCCCTGGTGACACAGAATGTTAGGACTCAGCACTGCAAGCGAGCCGCAGCCGCCTCAGTGAGAGTTCGATCCCGGTCCCAGATGTGACCCACCTGGCATGGCAGACCTCTCCTGAGCCATCTGCTGTTCCCCTCAGCAGTGTACTTCATCAATCTGCTTGTTCTGCTCCCCGCTCTGTCTCTGGTGAATCCTCTTACTGCCCCTGCTATACCCCAGTATATACCCGGTATATACTGGGCTATACCCCAGTTCTATATGCATAAATAAATAAATCTTTTTTTAAATAAATAAATAAATTTGTTTTTAGCCTTCTCTGCTCCTGTAGTACAATCTAGTCTCTGAAAAATAATTTCATTTCTGAAAAGCATACCCATGAACAATAGAGGTGCTGGTCTAGGAATGCCCCCAGCTATCATTTAATGATGCAGAGAGAAGAATAAGCCCCACTCTGGCCTTCCCTCTGCTTATTACTTTTCCATTTCTCAAGCAAGACAAAAACAGCAGGAACCTGGACCACCACAATGTTCTATTTTCATTTCCTCTTTCCTGCTATCTGCTCCAAACCTTTCTGCCTTTTTTTCCTATCCCCTCTGTTCCCCTCAATCAATTAAGTCAGTTTAATTGGGTTCTAACTTTGTGAATGTGAAGTGTTTTGAGTTAGTAACATCAGTTAATAGGGCTTTATTTTCTAAAATCAATATCATGTTCTCTGTCCTCTTCTTAATGTTGTCAGGGCGCAGGAAGTCATTATTTCAGTTCTCTGACTCACCACCGTTACTGCCTTTTGAAGAGCTTTGAATCCCAAGCACCTAGCCCTGGCCTTAAGTGGCACAGGCACTTAGACACAATTGCTAATGTTCTTGAAGCAAGGACTTTTCCTGCTTCAGGGAACAGGGCACTTGTAACTACTGCATAACTACTGCATCTCTTTGGCATGGTTTGAGATAGGCCCAAGTTCTTTTTGAAAATAGCTTTCATCTTCTATCATAGTTAAGACTCAACTCATATTCTTCACCAAACTCAATGATGAAAAAGCATAATATTGCTATTTTTTAGCCTTGACAGCTTTTGTAATATGCAACACAAAATGACATCAGATAATTGGACTCTGTAGGCCTGTGATTAGCAGAAGGAGACAAAAGAGTCGCAGTCATCCCCGATATGGGAAACAACTCAAAGATTTGTCTAGATTTGCTTTTTGAAGTAGTGAGTCCAAAGATTACATCTGCCACCTACTTATCCTTCAAGTTAATCACTGCTCCTAAATAAACCTCTGCGTGTATGTGGACCTTTTAGGGAGAGTTCTAGGGGGCAGCAGGAGATGCAAGCCAGAGGAAATGAGTTAGTGGTGGGATGGAATGCTATTTTGAATGGCCCACAGAAAGCCCTGCCCTCCTCATTGTAGACAGGTTAAGAGGTGAGTGCATTCCTTTGCTGTGGAATGCAGGGATGAAGAGAATGCTGATCCCACAGCAACTGAGCGTCTCTATCTTTTAGCTTGAACACCAGCCGTGGCCTCCCCAACCTCATCCATGCTGATCTTCTTCCTCCTTGGGCTAGTCCTTATCCTTACTCCCTCTTATCTAACTCTCACCCCTCTTTCATGTTCTACTAAATTGCTCAAGTGGGACCCACCCTGGTGGCACAAGGGGTTAAAGCACAGCAGCACCATGATGCTCTCTGTAGCACAAGTTAGATCCCCAGCCAAGGAGCTGATCCACATGGTGCAGCAGACCTCTCTTATCTCACCCACTGCTCCCCTCAGCAGTGTATTTCACTCAATCTGCCTTTTCTGTTCCCCATTCTGTATCTGATGAATCCTCAACCTCCACCCCCACCTCTGGCCTACACCCTAGTTATGGTAAGTATAAATAAATACATATTAAAAAAATTAAAAAATAAATTGCTCATGTGACTCCAAGTCAAAGACTGTTCCTTAAAAGTGTTTGATGATGTGTCCTCCAGGGACTAGTGGATGAACATTTCCTGCCCTCCCACTCTCCTCCCCTTCACTGCAGAATTCAGTTCACTTATCTCTCGATGCCTGTTGAGTGACATCATTTATGAGCTGACATTTCAAGGATAGATGAAGTATGTGACCCTCCTCCCACCAGCCAGATAAGCAGCCTGCACTGTATTTTATATCCAGCTGAACTTGCAGGGATTGTACCATGTGTGTGAGTGGAGTAGAAGTCCATGCTTTTCCCTTTCAAATGATTGGGATTTTAATTTTTCTTGAAAAATATATCGCTACATTGTCTACAAAAAGAATGCGTCTGTATCTTGTCTCTTTATTATTTTGGTAGACAACATGACATTTCTCTCCTGCTGTCTGAAAAGTAAGGGCATTCAAACCATCTATTTTATCTCCCTCTTAAAACCAAGCCAAACCACAGAGATCCCAAAGGGGATTTGGAAAGTACCAGAAATTTATTCATTGGACATGTAAAGAAAGTCAGCTTCCATTACAGTTGTTGATAAGAGTACAACTAGCACATTAGATATTGAACATAGTCATTGAACCTGGCCTCCTCCTCCGCTTTACAGTCAATATTCTCACAGAGCAAAAAAGGAAGTTAAGGTATCTGTATCACAATATTTGCTAGAATATGAGGTCCTATCTAGCATTAGAGTCTGAAAAGGGCATATTTGGCACTAATCTGGTGTCTCAAGATTTAGAGACAGCAATCACTGTCCTTTGACTTTCTCAGTCTATTTATTTCTCCAAGTTTTCTTTGTCTTAACTCACTCATAAATTTCTTGCATTCCTTTGACTTCTGAGATTTAAATATCTTCCAGGGGGGTACTTGCTAAGCTTGACCTGGAGAGCTGGTTAAGACTCCACATCTTTTACGAATATATCGGAGATAGACTGTTTACCCTCTTAGTTATACCTTAGCTGAAAAGATATAAAACATTGGAGAATGGGTATGAATTAGTTGTAAACTAGTTGGGTAGAAATTAAACTCTAGGTTGGTACTTAAAGCCTGCGGAGACATATGATTAAATCAGCAACTACATTGCCGCAGAAGGAAAAATATTTTTAAAGTGCTTTTGTCTGTTATGGATTTGTTTGGCTTCAGATTGCTTTTCGGATTTATTGATAGATGAGCCAGTATTTTGTGTAGTTCCCTGTACAAAGAGAAAATAGTAGGTAATTAAAAAGGTATACAGAGCAAGGTATTGTAACGTTATTATTGGTATTGTTTTAAACAGCTTTACATGCCCTGCCATAATGTTCATTTTACAGAGTATGGTTTGGTATTTGGTGTGTTCACAAGTGTGTGTAATCACCCCCACAGTCAATTTTAGAACCCTTTCCTCACCTCAAAAAGTAATCTCATATTAGAGTTGACTTTTCCCTAATCTCCTAGACCCTACCAGCCACTAACAGCCACCCATCTAGTCTATCTATACAGTTATTTCCTTTTTGCAGGTATGTCATATGAAAGTAATAATTATATGGCCTCTGTGTGTATATATATATATATATATATATATATATATATATATATATATATATATATATTGCAACTCTGTGAGTCTGTAATTATTTCAGAATAATTGAAAAATGCATAGACATCTTGCAATGGAACAAGGCCTGGGCTAGGTCCATGGGATAGGCTTAATTGGGGGTGAGCTTGGGCAAAGTTCCCCCAGAGGAATGAATCAGCATATTTTTTTAAGTGCATGACCCATGAAAAGAATCTGGGCCCATTTGTGGGTAGACGATGGAAGCTCATGTGGCATCTGAACGACTCTACTTTCTTGAGACTTTTGCCCCCGTTGGCTGGACTCAGCTGGCTGCTGTGCCCGGAGGTCAGGACGCCAGTCATTGTCCTCTCTTATGTCTTCCCCGCAGTGTCCAACAAGCACCCATTTGTGGACAGCAATCTTCTCTACCAGTTCAGAATGAACTTCCGTCGGCGGCGAAGGCTAATGGAGCTGCTCAGTGAGAAATCCCCCTCATCCGAGGAGGCGCACGACAGCCCCTTCTGCCTGCGGAAGCAGGGCCACGATAACCGGAAATCGACCAGCTTTATGTCTGGTATGTTGGTCCTGCTGTTTGTGTTTTTGTCTTCTGAGAGGTGCTGTAGTGATAACTCACCTTTGTGAAATTCTGTTCTCTAGTAAATCTTTATGACCAAAAAGTGTGTTAAAGAACGAAAGAAAGAAAGAAAGAAAGAAAGAAAGAAAGAAAGAAAGAAAGAAAGAAAGAAAGAAAGAAAGAAAGAAAGAAAGAAAGAAAGAAA